TTTCTTGCTCTCTTCCCCAATATCAAACACAATGGCTACATAGATATTTATGACATGGATATTTATTTTCTGCAGTTCTGACATAGAATTCTTCTTGAACCTAACAAAAAAAACCAAATGAATTAGGTTGTTTTTCCCAGTAAATATGTCAGATGTGTTTATATTTACATGAGACATTTTTTATTTGAAATATTATATACTTCATCAAATCATATGATTCCACTACCTTACATTATTTCATTGCAATAACAGAATCTAACAACCTACTTTCTCCACGTAAGTTGTGGCATACATCCTTCAGGGGATCCTGTTACAGATGCATTACTTATACATGGGTGTGTTTTCAGTCTTCCCATCATATTGTTTCGACAGAGGCTTGACTGTTGTGTTTGCTGATCATGCCAAACACTTCTTAAAACTTTATAAAAAAAGTAGATTTGGATTAGAAGTTTGTGGACATTCTAAACATCCATTTTATTTTAACTGCTGACTACATGTTCCAGTCTTGAGTACAGACAAGTTTAGTGAACAATATGAGTATGTATGTTGCTGCCTTTGAAATACTGCATTGACTGCATCATGATAGCGACAAACAGATAAATTTTTATTAGCTCACCTTTACTGAAAGTCAAGTGAGCTTATGTCGTTGCCCGTTGTAAACCACTGGACAAATGAAACATTTCTCAGCCATTTTTGTGCAACATGTAATAGAATTTGGTACATGTGTGTTTATTTAGAAGTTCATCATTCCTGTTAATGTCTTTTTTAGTATATTTTTAATTTCGACCTCTGTTTTCCCTTTGCACTTTGGCCATACTGAAATCGGAAACTTCTTATGGCCATTACTCAGCTATTTCCTTTCAAAGTGTAATTATTTTGGTATATGTGTCGGTTACTAGTGTGGTTCAACACATGTTCTGTTTTTGCAATATTTAAAATTTTGACCTTTATTTGGACTTTGCCGTTGGACTATGCCCCTAAATTCTCTCAAATTGCATTTCATTTCACTGTAACCATATAATCTCCTCCGAAGTCCCAGAACCCACAAAAAGGACCTTGTTCCCACCTCTGATGACATGAATTTTGGTCAAGTAGTGAGTTAGTATGGTTTTACGCTGCTTTTAGCAATATTCCTGCAAGATCACAGTGGGCGATACCAGAAATGGGCTTCACACATTTGTACCCATGTCGGGAATCAAACCCGGGTCTTAGGCTTGATGAGTCAACGCTCTAAACACTAGGCTACCCGACCGCCCCTTTGGTCAAGTAGTTTGAATTAGATTTGCCACAGCATTTGTATTGAGAAAAAAAACTATGGCTGCTGCTCAGCCATTTCTGCTTAAAAGATACTGTAATGCTCTTAAATTATCTCAAAATGCGGGGTTTTTCTCTGTTAACATCTTCCCTGAATTTGCCAGCTGATGATGGTTATCAGATTTTCCATGTGATTGTCCCTTGTGCTTGCCTTTGAAGTTCAACCTCTTGGTAGCATATACATCTTATGTACTTGTGGTGGCTCTGTACCTTAGTTGCTGTTCTCCTTTTCTTCAGTTTTAGCCATATCTCTGGCAGCATAGAGAGCGAGTGCATTGCCTAAGTTTAGACAATTTCCTTGCACAGTCAAAGTTCAGGTTGAAAAAACGCAAATCTCTCATGTTGCCTTTGAGGATAGTTTCCTTCTTTCAAAAGAAATCTCAGTTTGACTATAAGATATGCCACCTTGCTTCAGGTGATAAAGTTCCCAAAGTGCCATCAGTTCCTTTAACTGTGGTTTCACAATTCCTTGAATTTATTCCTGTACCTGTCTAGTAATTTCCCTTCCTCATTTGTCAGGGCCCGGCTGTTAAAAAGTTCAAATCCAGGTGTACCCCACCAGTACAGCAACTGTTTGCACTGATTTCTGTTCCTACGATTTGTATCTGCTGTATACCGGTGTATTGGTGTATAATAATAACTTTATTGATAATTTATAACAAAAATGGCTCTAGTCGTGGCAACTTCCAAACTTTTGGGAAGTTGTAATCTATCGGACCGTCATTCAGGCGATGTTTCTGACAGATCACGATCTGAAAAATACTATCATGAAAGTGTATCCCGTGGATAAGCCGACCCCTTTCTACAGAATCTTTTTTCTGGTCCTCAAAATTCGGCTTATACGCGGTCATATACGGTAATGCAGACATACATATTGTTAATATTAAAAACCACAGTGCATATTTTGTTTTACAATGAACCATCTCTCTCTTCGAGAATTACAATTACTTCCCTTTTGCTAATATGTTTACTCCTGTAGTCTGACACGTCAGATATTCACACTGTCCAAAAGTGCTAATACCTCGATACACAAACTGGTTTAACGTTTCCCACATGGCGATATGCTGTAGGCCTGTCCCTCTCCCTCTCGACAGACAGACCAGCTACAAGGAAAGGGTCAACATTTCACCGCAGTGAAATGCTGTATGGGAAAATAGGTCGGATAGAGTTAGACTGGTCGCCTCCATAAACTAGGCGGCTGCAGGCGAGGAGCACAAGCACTCTATTGCAGTTAAATCAGTCATAGGACAGAGCGTGTTTCCCTCTTATGATTGTGCTGAATACAAAGATGTTTAGACTAATAATTGACAGGAATGTTTTTTGAAAATATTTATGATGTTACTTTCTCAAACCCCAAACAAACAATGAGGCTCAGAGTTGAAAATTTGTGTAAAGTAAATTTAACTGTTTGGTATTACAAGAATGTTCTACAATAGTTCAATGATTCTTGCAGAAAAGAAACATTGTGGATAGTAATAGTTACCTGTTTCATATTTGATAATACTTTTGTCTTCGGTATTTATGCAGAAAATATTTAAGAAGCAAGCCTGACAACTGTTTGAAATGTTTTTACAGAGTCTGTCTCACATTTCCAGGTGAGCTACAAATCCGTGGCACTATATTTATCCTGTAGTTTCTACAGCATTGTCATTGTGCATTGATAATCAGAGATGTTACCGGTAACATGTAACCAGATATTAGATCCTGTATCTATGTATCCAAATTGCACAGTTTATGATTGCTAATAGTTAATTAATCGGAATTATGGTGTATGGTGTATACAGAGCTTCAGGTGTGTGTAGACAGCTACACCTGTCTGTACTGTGTACTGAGCTCCAGGTGTGTGTGTAGACAGCTACACCTGTCTGTACCATGTACTGAGCTCCAGGCATGTGTAGACAGCTACACCTGTCTGTACTGTGTACTGAGCTCCAGGTGTGTGTGTAGACAGCTACACCTGTCTGTACCATGTACTGAGCTCCAGGTGTGTGTAGACAGCTACACCTGTCTGTACCGTGTACTGAGCTCCAGGTGTGTGTAGACAGCTACACCTGTCTGTACCGTGTACTGAGCTCCAGGTGTGTGTGTAGACAGCTACACCTGTCTGTACCGTGTACTGAGCTCCAGGTGTGTGTAGACAGCTACACCTGTCTGTACCGTGTACTGAGCTCCAGGTGTTTGTAGACAGCTACACCTGTCTGTACCGTGTACTGAGCTCCAGGCATGTGTAGACAGCTACATCTGTCTGTACCGTGTACTGAGCTCCAGGCGTGTGTAAACAGCTACACCTGTCTGTACCGTGTACTGAGCTCCAGGTGTGTGTAGACAGCTACACCTGTCTGTACCCTGTACTGAGCTCCAGGTGTGTGTAGACAGCTACACCTGTCTGTACTGGTACTGAGCTCCAGGTGTGTGTAGGCAGCTACACCTGTCTGTACCGTGCACTGAGCTCCAGGCATGTGTAGACAGCTACACCTGTCTGTACCGTGTACTGAGCTCCAGGTGTGTGTGTAGACAGCTACACCTGTCTGTACCGTGTACTGAGCTCCAGGTGTGTGTAGACAGCTACACCTGTCTGTACCGTGTACTGAGCTCCAGGTGTTTGTAGACAGCTACACCTGTCTGTACCGTGTACTGAGCTCCAGGCATGTGTAGACAGCTACATCTGTCTGTACCGTGTACTGAGCTCCAGGCATGTGTAGACAGCTACACCTGTCTGTACCGTGTACTGAGCTCCAGGCGTGTGTAGACAGCTACACCTGTCTGTACGGTGTACTGAGCTCCAGGTGTGTGTAGACAGCTACACCTGTCTGTACTGGTACTGAGCTCCAGGTGTGTGTAGGCAGCTACACCTGTCTGTACCGTGCACTGAGCTCCAGGCATGTGTAGACAGCTACACCTGTCTGTACCGTGTACTGAGCTCCAGGTGTGTGTGTAGACAGCTACACCTGTCTGTACCGTGTACTGAGCTCCAGGTGTGTGTAGACAGCTACACCTGTCTGTACCGTGTACTGAACTCCAGGTGTTTGTAGACAGCTACACCTGTCTGTACCGTGTACTGAGCTCCAGGCATGTGTAGACAGCTACATCTGTCTGTACCGTGTACTGAGCTCCAGGCGTGTGTAGACAGCTACACCTGTCTGTACCGTGTACTGAGCTCCAGGTGTGTGTAGACAGCTACACCTGTCTGTACCCTGTACTGAGCTCCAGGTGTGTGTAGACAGCTACACCTGTCTGTACTGGTACTGAGCTCCAGGCATGTGTAGACAGCTACATCTGTCTGTACCGTGTACTGAGCTCCAGGCGTGTGTAGACAGCTACACCTGTCTGTACCCTGTACTGAGCTCCAGGTGTGTGTAGACAGTTACACCTGTCTGTACAGTGTACTGAGCTCCAGGCGTGTGTAGACAGTTACACCTGTCTGTACAGTGTACTAAGCTCAAGGTGTGTGTACTGAGCTCCAGGTGGGTGGATACAGTTACACCTGTCTGTACCGTGTACTGAGCTCCAGGTGTGTGTGTAGACAGCTACACCTGTCTGTACAGTGTACTGAGCTCCAGGCGTGTGTAGACAGTTACACCTGTCTGTACCCTGTACTGAGCTTCAGACGTGTGTAGACAGCTACACCTGTCAGTACCGTGTACTGAGCTCCAGGTGTGTGTGTAGACAGCTACACCTGTCTGTACAATGTACTGAGCTCCAGGCGTGTGTAGACAGTTACACCTGTCTGTACCGTGTACTGAGCTCCAGGTGTGTGTGTAGACAGCTACACCTGTCTGTACAATGTACTGAGCTCCAGGCATGTGTAGACAGTTACACCTGTCTGTACCGTGTACTGAGCTCCAGGTGTGTGTAGACAGCTACACCTGTCTGTACTGTGTACTGAGCTCCAGGTGTGTGTGTAGACAGCTACACCTGTCTGTACTGTGTACTGAGCTCCAGGCGTGTGTAGACAGCTACACCTGTCTGTACAGTCTACTGAGCTCAGGCGTGTGTAGACAGCTACACCTGTCTGTACAGTGTATAATAGTATACCAATAATAGTCTTTCCCTGGCACCATTGACCACACAACTTGTGTGCCCATGTGTATGTATGCAGTATTTATCAACATTTCATCAAGAAAGCTAGCATGTGCCTTTTGTTGGGCAAATGTTTCCAATGGTAAATAAAGTGCTTCGTTTTGCATTACAATTGTTTACATTATTGTCAGGTATGTTCCACTGTGGTGTCTGACCGCTCTCATGGTCTAGTGGTAGAGCGTCTGCCTCATCATACCAAAAGACGTTGAAAGATGATACTTGTTGTTATCCTGCCTGTTCAGCATTAAGGAAAAAAAGGTCTGGTCGGCTAGGAGTCAGTATACTGTGGCTGAGTGGGGTATTCATATTAAACTGTGGCATGGTATCTCAGTGGCCTTGCAATATAAAATCGGCATTAGTCCTGACTAGTACAAGCATGCAGCCACACACACACACACATGCATGCATGCACGTTGCTATATAAGTCCTATATAACGCGATGTTTAACCCCATTTCATATCACTGTCTGTGCAGAAATGGTTGAACATGATATTTTCAATAGCTGTGTCCTAATGCAGCCAGTGTACAGGCTCAGACACTCAGACAGACAGACAGACAGACACACACACACACATCGCTATATGAATGTGATCTTCAAAGCGATATTAAGCCCCATTTCACCTCACCAAAATTGTGAGTATGAATACATCGATAGCCTCTCCAAGTCAATTTATTAAAAACGACTGCCGATTGATCACCCCCCATATGAACTGTAAAATGTATCTTTCAGCTTATTGGTGCCTTTTGTTATTTTGAAATCTTTCTGAATATTATTTTGTTACATTTACATGGAAACAATTTGTTCTCAAACAACTCAAGGCTTGGTTTCTGAGCCATAACTCTCAAACTTATGAATATTTTTGCATGAAACTATACATGAGCAATGACTGTCTTTTCATATTTTTCAATATATTTTTCTTGTTTGTTTCCAGCCAAAACTCTACAGCTAATGAGTATAATTCTTATGAAACTACTACCTCTATTTCAAATCTGCCATAAATCCTGTATTTTGGCTTCAATCACACTAACTAAATTTTTCACTCAAATTGGAAATTGGCAGCCATCTTGAATGTTTGTAGATCTGTCAATAGTCGAAAACGTTCAGTAGTTGTGAATATCTTTTTAGAAACATAATATGCTTTTTTTCATCAAAACATTGAACCTCCTCAGAAATATGGAAGATAATTGGTGGCCATATTGGATTATGCAAATTAGACATATTTCCCAAACTAGGATTGCTATGGACATTTAGTATGTTGTTTTGGGGATCTTGTAGAAATGCATTTTGGTAAAATAAATGCTGTTGCAATTTGTTCCAACTTGAGTGAAAAAATTGCCTAGATTGCCTGGACTATGAGCACAAACAGGAAAAAAGTGAGGTTGCCACCATTATGACATCATGGCTTGGGTTGTTACGAGAGTACTTGACGGCAACTAGTTGTGTGTAATTGTCAGTTCGTTGAAAATCTGAAAAATTTAGTTTGTGTGATTGAAGCCAAAATACCAGATTTATGGCAGATTTGTAATAGAGGCAGAAGTTTCGTAAGAATTATACTCATTAGCGATAGTTTTGGCTGGAAACAAACAAGAAATGAAAAAAAATGAAATGATAACAATTGTTTGATGTTTTTTCATCATGTCTGTCATGGTAATATTGGCTGCAATTGCAGTCTATAAAGCTGTGACAAATATCACGATACAAAAAATATATTGTGTTATTGTTAGTCATATCTCATAATCATTTTGCAATGATACAGAGGGGGGGCCAGGTAGCCTAGTGGTTAAAGCGTTCGCTCGTCACGCCGAAGACCCGGGTTCGATTCCCGACATGGGTACAATGTGTTAAGCCCATTTCTGGTGACCCCAGCCGTGATGTTGCTGGAATATTGCTAAAAGCGGCGTAAAACCATACTCACTCACTCACTCAATGATACAGAAATGACAGCAATAGGGGAAAATGACATTTTAATATTTTTTAATATAAAAATGTAATTTTCCCCTATTGCTGTCATTTCTGTATCATTGGGAAATGATCATTAAAAATATTAAAATGTAATTGTCCCCTAATGCTGTTATTTCTGTATCATTGCAAAATGATTATGAGATATGACTAACAATAACACAATATATTTTTTGTATCGTGATATTTATGAGGTTGGATCAGAATTATTTGAACAAGTTTTAGAGACATTTCTTCGATCACAAAGAATTTCACCTTCATAACCCAGAGGTTTCAGAGATGTTGAAAATCTAAATTCTATAAATCCCTAAATAGCCAAAAGGGACCAGTGGACAACCTGGTCTCTGTGTGTGCAAAGTGTCATGGAAGAGGACCTATTAGTTTTAGAGATATGGTCAAGACAAATACACCACTATATACAGAGTCAAAGTCAATTTTGTTGCCATGGAAACTGGAAAAAAATATAATTTTTGTGAATCCTCTACCTCTATTACATTTTTGCCATAAATCCTGTATTTTGGCTTCATTCACACTGACTTAATTTTCCTCTTCACTGTCAATTGCACAAGATTAGTTGTTCCCTAATAGCACTATAGCAACCCAAGCTATGACGTGCGTAATGGCGGGAAAGCTCACTTCTTTCCTGTGTGTGCTAGAGTCAACACCTATTGTATAGTTGTAACAATCTAGCACTTGGTACTGGTCACATTAATCAAAGATTGTTCTATAGTTTTCTTGAAACAGACATTTTAAGTCAATATTAATAGCTGCTAATTGTTGTGACGATCATACTCACGTAAGTATAAGTCTTGTGTGAGGTGTTTGTGATGTCGTCATGGAGTCTCCCACTCCGCCTACTTGCAAGTCGTATGACCATTTTGTGATCATGCGAGATCCTCATAACAACTGCTGGAAGTGCAGAGAGGCCAAATGCACGAATGAGAGTTGATTTTTGAGTCATTCTCCGGGAAGAATTCGTTCAAACCGATTTGGGGGTACAACAAGCGTCAGTCTTCTCAGGAGTTGTTTTGTCAGTCTGACTACAAAAAACGAGTATCCTATTGCCGGGGCAGATCCGGGGGCCTACCGCCTTTCAACATAATGCTGACTACGGGGCCAGTGGGAGGGCGTCTTCTGTCATACACCAATAATCGGAAGCAGATTACGCCCGACTGCTGGGTCCTAGACATCGTGGGTCATGGATACAAACTGCATTTCAAGAAGCATCCAATCCTGAAATCTCAAGCCGTTGGACACAGATTTCGTCTAGATGGAGCCTAGCTTGCGACATCAGATCTGGCCATCAGGGAGCTAATAAAGAAGTGAGCCATTCGGAAACTATTGGAGACCAACAAGACCAAAGGCTTTTATTCTCCGGTATTTTTAGTTCAGAAAAAGAATTCGCCCAACATGAGGATGATAATGAACTTAAAAGATCCTCAACCAAAAAAAATTCCTGGTACCTCAGCCAAAGTTCCAGATGAAATCCGTACTGAAGTTGCGGTTGACTTTGAGGACAGGAGATTGGCTCATCGGCCTGACCTACAAGATCCCTATCTCCACATCCTGATACACCCATCGTCATGGAAATACCTGCGCTTTGCAATCAATGGTCAACGTTACAAGTTCCAAGTCTTACCATTCGGGATATCAATAGCCCCTTGGCAGTTTACAAGGATTACAGCGCCAGTCATCAGGTTTGCCCACCTCCACCTAGAACGAATGCATGGGAACCTGGGCCTAGATCTTCGAAACGATCTTAGCTAAGATGAATCTTAACTACTTACGTTCAAAGATAAGATATCTTAAGTTTAAGATAAGATAGATTTTCGAAACTGTCATAAACCTGTAGCAGATCGTACAGAACTATGTTACTTATCATAACTCTGACAGGGAACTCATTTGTGTTAGAGATTGAAAAGCGTGGTGTTTCTCAATGACGTCAAAGGGATTTCCCAGCCGCTATAGCAATAACAACATGGGGAAGTGACACGGAATTCATGATCACATTGTCAGGTCACACTGTTTAACACACAAATATTTGAATGACATTCCGTACAATCCCATATATGTCCTACATGTAGACATTTGTTCTTATGATAAGAGATGACTACCCGAACACAAATAGCACTCGTGTGCCATGCAAAGCCATTTTTCAAACCCAATAAATGTTATAATCAATAAGTGTAGTGTTACCACCATAGCTATTAGAATTGAAATAATGTACCTAAAGTAACTTCACTATTTCAAATAGTCCTTCAAATGGTCCTCTTGCGAGCGAGCAGAACTTTATGTGGACACGTTGCATACAATGTCAAGGACGAAAGTAAGGGACATTATTCTAAATGCCAATGACAAGATGAGACCTTTGATCGAACAGCAGGCGTTCAGCATTTAAGATGCGCGTTCAAGTCTGATGTTACGTGAAGTATGCTGGGTCTATCTAGATCCATAATTCTTTTCAAAATTTAAAAGTGACACTAATTTTTGTTTGCAAAGAGAGATTTAGGAATTGTCAAGTTATGTTGTATCATGGAACACACCACAAGTTAACGTGAACATACATATAACATAGTCCTTTTCTATCCTTTTAAATTAAGTAGAGCTAATAAACTGACTTGTCTGATTTCATTTAAATCTGGCTGAGGAGCGAAATACTTTGTAAATGTGTCAAATCTATTCCAGAACGACCTTCAATTATGTTTGGCTTGTCTGACAGCATTGCTGAGTATCATTTACTAGTAATTGTCCGTTGACCCTATACTTTACAACAATTTTATTGTCTGAATGGTCTCAAGTACATGTATATAGAAATTTTTTAACACAAAACGGGTAGATGTATACTTAAATATTAAAAAGACCAAAATCAATTATTATTTTAAAATCAGTTTATTGAATGCAAAATTCAAAGATTGTTGTGTTGAAAATGTCTATTTTTTATTGATCAGTAAACTTAATTCAATAAACGTTTTCTGCGCACATATATTAGAAAGTGAATTTTGGATGATGTTACTTTTTGATGACATTTTAAACCCGAACGAGCATGGGAACCAATGTTTTACTTGATTTTTTTATAAATTGGTATAATTAATGGAATACATCTATATGCCGTTAATCACCTGTTTTTAAAAAATGCAATTGTTCAACAGACAATCACTCATCAAATATTTGTCTTTCAATAGAATAGATAACCTAGGTATTATATTTATAACAAAACAAAATACAATTACTTTTGCTAGAAAAATATTAAATATACCATACAAATATTTGATCACATGTATTTCCTTGTTAAGTCAATAAATACTAGACTGTATAGTTAAAATTGAATTGTTAAAACAGCTCGTCCCACACGATTTTAGATATAAAAACTGATTCGATGTTTTTTTTACATATGTAGATTGACATAATTTTATAAATTGCAAAAATAAAGACTGAAGCATTGACACGGATGCGATCTAGAAAATATAACATGGTAACTCAGCGCTTCATGAAAACTAACATTGAGCCGGGCGAATACAAAGGGAAACCACTCTCAACTAGAGTATGAACTAAGATTAGCTGCCCCTGAGTTATCAATATGGTCATTACTATAACCTGCCGACACCTTCCATTTTTATCCTTCCCAAATTATTGAAAAAGGTACGTTGTTTCACACTTCTTCAGTATGGACTTAGATAGAAATATATTTTAAGCTATCGACTCCATAGTTATGTGGATCGCTGTTGCGATCAAGAACATTTCTGATGTGAAATCATTGATGCGTTCTTCGTGTTTTTGAAGTGTCAATTTGAATCACACAGTTTAACAAAATGAAATGTTAATCTTTAAAGGTAAAGCAGTCTATTTGTTTGGCAAAATATCTATGGCAAATTATCTTGGATGAAGATAAAATAAACTTACAACAAGAATGGGGCTATCTTAGATTTACGACAAACTTAAGAAATCTCAGGGCTACGATAGTTTCGAAAATAGGCTTTGATAGACTACAATTTCCTTACGATAACTTTATAACAACTTTTGGGCTATGATCATTTAGAAATTCTAGGCCCTGGACGAATTCCTGGCAGCAGACCAAGAAGAAGCTCAGTTACACCAGAACATGCTATTTCTGGTCCCTAGGCTTCCTAGTTAATCCCTCAAAGTCCGAGACCAGTCCGGTTCAAGACATCATATATGTCGGAGCACGTTTCCAACTCCACAAGGGATATCTATGTCCACCAGAGGATCGATGTCCTTTCTATGCCTCTCCTATTGACCAATCAGATTTAACCTCTCGTATCACTTGCATTTGCTTCAAACAAAACGGTGGCACCCAGTCAAGACAATCTGATCGATAATCAAGATCTATATTGTGATAAAACGAGTCTTACTTCGCGAATTGCATCAAATCACGTGAGCACCTTGATTAAAAACATGAAAAGATTTAGAAAATATCTGTTGACAACGAGTTAGTGGTGCACATGCTTTGCAAATCCTGCAGTCGACCGAAATCTGCATGACACTTTACGAACCGGATTTCGATTTTGGTGCGCGATTTTGATTGGACTATGCATAGACTCGTTAGTCCAGCCAAAATGTAACTCCATAATACCAGCCTAGTTCGGCAAGGGTGGAAACTGGACTTTTATAGTCGGTTAACTCACTTGCCTCGGGAAGATGGTCTCTTCTAGGCAGCCTGATGTCTCTACTGGATATGACCTTTAGAGGAAGGTTGACGTTAGGTCCTCTACAGGCATGGATCAACTCACTACAATCTCACACCTCAGAATTCAAGACTCAATTACCTCCCAACTTATTACAGGACCTGCGTTGAGGGACTCACAGAGAGCATGTGATGAACGGCATTCCTCTGACTTCACTGACGCCCGAACACCATCTATTTACAGTCACGTAAGATTCGGGATGGGGAGCCCATATGGATGATCTCACGGTACAAGGATCTTGGAACACCAGAGAGAGGATCCTACATATCAACTGCAAGGAAATGAAGGCCATCTATTATGCCATCCTGGCATCGAAGATATGTCTCTCCCAATCGTCCATCCTCATAGCCACGGACAACACCATAGTATTGGCATACATTCAGAAACAAGGAGGAACCAGATCCAGTTCTCTGATGATGGAGACTACACGATTGTTTGCCTTGGCAGGCTCCATCAGTTGCCGGATGGAAGCAAGACATATTCCCGGGAAGCTGAACATCTTTGCTGACAGCCTTTCCCGACAGGGGAGAATAGTGGCAACAGAATGGACCTTACATCTCTAGATCTTTGCTTGGATAACCATGTTATGGGACACACTGAACCTAGATCTCTTTGCTACCTGCCAGAACCATCAACTTCTGGTTTATGTCAGTGCAGTTCCCGATCCAATGGCTCACCAGACCAATGTGCTATCCATGTATTGGGACGGATCTATTTGCATACGCATTCCCACCATGGTCTCTCCTAGACAAGGTCATCCACAAGGTGGAGGAGATGGATTGCATGATAATCTTGACAGCACCAATTTGGCCACACAGTGTGGTTCCCCAGATTAATAAGTCTATTAATGGAAGAACCTCTCTAGTTACCTCTCTGTCGAGATCTGTCACGACAGCCTAAGCCAATCATTTTCCACGACAATCTGCCCAGCCTACATCTAACCGCCTGGAAGTTATCATGCAAAAGATGCAGACATCCTGGTACTCTGAACTTGCCTCAGAAGCTGTGGCAAGATCATTGAATCCTTCAACCTCCCTTATATATGACAATAGATGGGGTAAGTTAGTCCAGTGGAGAAGACGACAAGGGATTATAACTAATACAATATCCATCCCTATGGTAGCGGACTTTCTACTACATCCATGTCAGGACGATAAGGCTAATGGGATACTTCCTACTAGAAGATGTTCGCACACCTCATATCTTCCCTAAGTGAAACCTATCAGTTGTGTTTTCAGCACTTTTAACAGAACCTTACGAGCCCCTGGCTAAGGCCACCTTACTAAAAAAATTCAGAACTCCATGCTCTGGACTGTTCTAGTCTCACCCATGATCAACATTGGACCTCAGTCACTCTAAGATCGCTCTTAGATTTTGTAGCCAAGAATCAATCTACCACCATAGTTGGGCCATAGACACTATACTATTCCTGCCTTGGGGTTGACAGTGGATCACCCATCAGAGCTCTCAAATTCTATCTCTCTTCTACAGACGCACATAGACGCCATCGAAGGAGACTAATCATATCCTGCATGCCTCATTCCAACAAGGACATCACCAAGGCTACGATAACAGGCTGGCTTAAGGCTACCGTTGCAGCAAGTTATACGCAGGCACATAATTCCACTCCCTGTCTTGGATCCTGCTCAGCTCACGAAATCAGAGCCTTATAGCCATGAGTCTCTCTTCATGGACATCCGTTTTGGTGGAACAAGTAGTGTCTAGCTGTCAGTGGGCCTCACAGAACACTTAACCAGTTTTTACTTGCATGACATACAGCCGGACCTAGAGGGCATATAATCCCTTGGGCCCATTGTTACGGCACAAACTATCATCCACCCTAGATTATCCTGTCTATTAGGCATAGGATAGATGTGCATTTTACACAATTTCATGCAGTTTCGTGCATTCACCCCAAGAAATGTAATAAATCAAGTAAAATTTCGAAGTTAAATCAGTACTTTTAAAAAATCGGGCATAACTTCCGCTCACCTGGCTACCTGCCAGGCCTGGGAGCAATACTTCAACCCCCATCCCCCAGACAAAAGGACAACTGACATAAGTGTGCAATGTCTGACCCTTTCACCATGTTGAAGCATATTGAAAAAAACTTAACTTGTACTTACTTACCTTTTGTTGAAAAAAAAACAAACTCCATTGCAAACATAACACATTGATACAACATATATCCCCATGTTATGGCTTTTCGGACGCTGAAGAAACATTCATAGTTTTCTCGCTAATCACATGAACAACCGTAAAACTACTTATAGGCTAAAAAACTTTATCTTAAAAACAAGCCATCATCTGACTCTGAGTATTTACAGTTTCTGTGTGATGCCACACCCCACGTTTTAATGCAAGTATTCGTGATAGAAAACGTATGATGTCAAAAAAATCTATGCTGCTGAAAGCTCTGATCGAAAACAGGACAATCCGCGATTGTTTTAGTCTGTTTTCAGTCGTACAAATTGGTATCTCTCATACCCTCACTTCTAGTCGCACGTTTAAAAGGAAGCCAGAAGCTGGAATGTAAACATTAAACTTGTTTCCGTCAGGTTGCGCACGCACCTCCCTATGACATGTCACAAATCTCTCAGCGCGCCTCTGAGACTGGTCGCTCGAGAAAGATTCACAGTAGACTGCTAGTTTGTATTCTACTAGTACTTATCGTTTGTCTACAGTTGTTGTTCTAATAAAGAAATAAGAATATGTCTTACCTGTAGACTCCTGGAATGTAATTGTTTGTGTTCAACACGTGTTTCGCTGTTTGACTTGATTATACACGTGGCAACATGTCGGGCATTTGTGCCTCGTGTCAAAGAAAACTGTCTAAAGTAGATCCTCACAAGTATTGTCCTTCCTGCATCATTAAGGACAGGTTTTCAACGTGTTTGTGGGATAAACGTTGTAAAGAATGTGAGCACTTGTCTTCTATAAACTTTAACTTGTATCTTCGTGCGTTGGCGAAGCGGGCTACTGACCAGCGCTACAAGCAGAGAAGGTCATCGGGTGGATCCTTGGACTCTGCACCCTCCACATCCGGCCCTGGGGGTGGCGAGTCAGCTACACCCAAGAAATCAGTTGATAAAGACCCGCCTCAGTCAACTTCTGTTTTCGACAAGACACGTGGCAGTTCGCCTGCTGATGATACTACCCGCATGACTGATCTTCGTCAATCGGTTGATCGAGAGCCTCACTCAGCCACCCCCGTTACGACGGGACCGGGTGGTGACGAGGACCTTGTGGGGACTACGGTCCCCAGTCGGTCAGTATCTCGTTCTACCAACGACGATAGGAACGTCGTGCGGGACGACAGTGAACACAGACCCCTCTCTAGAAGTCGTTCCCGTTCCCGGGACGACAGGACGAGTGTCTCGTCGAGAGACAGTAAATGACACGAGGACATTCATTGCGTTCGTGGTCGTCTGGAGTACAATTCGGACGATAACTACGATGGGGATCGTAGTACTTCTACAGTGTGAGATCGTGAGATCGCCCAGTCCCGATATGTATCGGGCCAGATTACTACGGCATGTCGCCATGGTTAGTTACATCAACTGCACTGAACTACCTGATCGTCATGGCAGGACACTCTTACGGGCCCCGTGGTCATCACAACAGTTGTTTGACGGTTGTACCAACGAAGTTCTGGACAAGTACTCAAGGGAAGCCGAGCGTGACATTATCATTTCGGCTTCACACAACCTGTCCAGACGGCCACCGGTTTCGAACGCCCCACGACAACGTTACAGAAACGTGAATGTGCAACGGGCCTTTTCGTAGGGACATGCCTCGACAGCCGTCCCGCAAGAGGGCTTCGGACAGGAAGGGTTGCCAGGTCTCCTTTTCCAAGTATCCCAGAGGGATAAAGAGCCGGCGGGGGAAGGGTCCTCACTTCTTCTACATGCCCTGGCGTCGGTGCACACGTGGCAGGAAGTCCTCGGTCTGTTGACATCGGCCTAAGACCTGACTCACCGAGGTCGTCTTCAACTTCGTCCGCTGCAGAGATTGCTGTACCCCCACCTGGAGTTTCCCAATCTCCTGGTTCCACTTCCGGCGCAGCTACGTTGTCATCTGGAGTGGTTGCTCCAGCCGTTGAACGTTTTCGAAGGCGTCTTTATGAGCGAGCCTCTGTTTATACTACACCTATTCGTAGACGCGTCATTGGAAGGCTGGGGAGGGCACTTCAGGGATGACCAAGCGGCCGGGCTGTGGGTGCCAGAAGAAAAGGTCCTCCACATCAACTGCCTCGAGATGGAAGCAGAGATTCGGGCGGTCAAGTCGCAAACTGCTGATGATACAGTCGGACAACTCCACAGTCGTCCAATGCATCAACAAACAGGGAACGACTCGGTCGGCGGCCCTTCTGGACCGGACATTCAGGTTCTTCGCCCTCGTCAACGACTTGGACATGGGCGTAAGAGCCCGTCACATCCCCGGGGCCAAGAATGTGATAGCCGACGCCCTGTCGAGACCATCGAGGCCGTCTCCCACGGAGTGGATGATCCATCCGACAGTCTTTCATCTGCTGTCAGATTGACTCTGGTTGCCCCAAGTAGATCTCTTCGCAACCCGGTACAACAACCGCCTCCCTCGATTTGTGTCGCCGGTTCCAGACTCACGGGCATGGGACCACGACACTCTAGCGATATCGTGGGGGGGTCTAGACGCTTACGCGTTTCCGTCAACGGTGCTGTAACCATCGATACTGGAGAAAGTTCGTCAAACGGCTAACCTACGTCTGCTTTTGGTGGCGCCTTATTGGCCGGCCAGAATGTGGTTCCCGGAACTTCTTCAGATCATCGATCAGCCACCGTTCCCGTTGCCAGATCAAGACGACCTCCTTCTTCATCCTCACAACGACGACTTGCATCCGGGGATAAAGAAATTCCAGCTTCATGCCTGGGTTTGCTTAAGACCTCGTTAATGAAGAAAGGATATTCGGCTAAAGCGGCAGCGCTTGTCTCGTCGGCACATCGAGTTACGACTCGTAAGTTGTATGATGACAAGTGGACCACTTTCTCCATTTTCGCCAGGTCTCATGTCTTCTACCCAGCGGTAGCAACCCCACCACAGGTGGGGGAGTTCCTAGTCTATCTCCGGTCATCTCGGCTTTTCTGGCAGCTTTGGCTGCAGTGGTGCTGTCTCCTACGGGCGACAAGCTCACTAAAATACCGGAGTTGCAGAAGATTCCACGTGCCTTCATGGTTGAAGATCAGTCACGTAAATTCTGACCGCCGGACTGGGACCTCGATGTCGTTCTGCGCAACCTGTCTAGTCAGACTTACGAGCCTCTAGATCAGGTCGCGTTTGACTTATTGTCTCAGAAAACGGCTTTCCTTCTCTCACTGGCTATGGCAGCGAGAGTATCGGAAATACATGCCATTGACGTCGGTCGGATTACAATCTCATTAAAATCAGACCTTGGTTCTCGCTACCGCTAAACAAAGATCTGAGGACATCCCATTACGGGTCACGTCAGACCGACCTTCCGCGAACTTTGACCGACCAATAGAATGACCAATCAAAAGGCAGCTTTCTCGTGCTTTATGGCACTAAT